TAAACCAGAGGCAGGGTACCCCCCCAGCATCCCCCCCCTGCCCCTGGCTCCACTGCAGCGTGCGCCTGCCTTCCCCGAGCCTCAACCCGCACGGATCCAGACCCAAATTAGCCGGTGCTTTTCCAAACATTGCCTTCCCGGGGCTGGCTCGGTCCACTGTGCCGTGCACAGCTGTGCAAACAGCTTCGCCCCGTGTTGTGGCGGCTTTGGGCTGGCTTGGACCCAGCGCTGGCCAGCCGGGGTTTGCACTGGAGCCGGTGCCAATGTCGGAGGACCGAGGCTGTCCCCCGAGGATGCATGGCAGGACAGTGGGGACCCCTGCAATGGATGGCAGTGGGTTGTGGCAGATTGGAGTTTCCCCTTAGCCAGTGCCGGTGCTGAGGCTGCATGTGGCCTGGGGCTGGTGCTGGGACCTCGGGCAGGTGCTGTCCTGCTGCCCTGGTGCAGTTCCTTGGGCCCTGTCCTTGCCCCCTGCCTGGGAATGGGGGGGTCTGGCCGTGCCCTGGATGTGCTGGCTGCATGGAGTGCGTCACCCTGTCCTGCTGGGACCCCGGAGTTGGGGCTGGGTCACTGCTGCAGTGAGTTGTCCCCATCACCCCTCAACAGGGAGGCCAGGGGCTTGGCTGGCCACCCTGAGCCCACAGACCTCTGGCATGACTTTGGTGTCCTCCCTCACCAGGAGGGAGGCACAGGGGTGGAAGGGTGGCTTAGGTGGGTCCCTTGCCCTGGAACCTGCTGCTGAGCTGGGACAGGTGATGGGAAAGACCAGGTCTGAGCTGGGTTGGGATCCTCTGCGGGGCTGGGCAGCTCCAGGCTGCACTCTTCCAGTTCTAGCAATGTCATCTACTCCTTAACCCGCACATCGGAGCTGGCCCCGGACCCCTGGGTAACATCTGTGGTGGCAGTTGATGCACCGGGCAGGTGGGCTTGCATTTCCAAAGACCAGTACAGGGCATCCCTGGCACTGCCTTGGTCCTCAGGGTAGGACTAATGCTGTCCCCTGCACAAAATGATGCTGGAGGGAAGTCCCTAAGCCTCTCCATCAGGGTGGAGCTGTGGGATGCCTAGTGCCACAGCTGCACATGCCCCAGGGGCTTGCTGGGTTGCCCATGTGGTCGTGCATGAGCCCGGGGGCATCAGTTAGTGATGGGCAGATGGTCCCTGGCAAGAGCACAGAATAAGTCTTGTGCTTTTGTGGGCACCCTGACCGGGCTGGGTGGTTTGTGGTGACACCCATCAGCGCCCGGCTGAGAGCTGGTGGCTGGTGGGACCCACGTGGTGGTTTGGGCCCAAGGATGGCAAAGGAGGGAGTGCAATCACACGCATGGCCCTGTGTCCTGGGCCATCAGCAGCCACGATGGCCATGCTCGTGGGGTGAGGGACGGGATGCAGGCTGGAGGCTGCAGGGAGCATCCCTGTTAGTGCCCCGTGCGTCCTGCTCCTGCTCCGAGCAGCTCCTGCCGGCATTGGGTGCTGGGAGCTCGCAGGAGCTGCAGGCATGCCAGCCCGAGCCTCTTCCAGGGCTACCTTGACACCCACATCCATCTCTGGTTTATGAACCCATCAAACCCCTTCAGCTCATACTCTGCCAGCCCTCCCAGATGCCTCTCCTCTGCTTCCCCCACCCAGCACCACAGGCTGGTGCATCGCCCTGCCCCAGAGCTGCTCTGCCCCACACAACCCCATGGCACAAGGGCTCTGCAGGTCCTGGGTCCCACGATGGCCAAAAGAACCCCCCCAGAGCAGCACCATGTGGCCTTCAGCAGCAGCTGAGAGTCCAGCTTCTTCACGTAGCCTTCAGCCAACAGGCAGGAGGGGTGTTCTGCAGGGGCTGGGTGCCCTGTGTGGGCTGCGTGGGTGGCTCTGTGTGGCATAGGGGTTTGCACATGCATCTCTGGACCCAAATATTCATGCTCATGGGTGGTCAGAGCCTGGCACTTGGGTGTTTTCCAGCCCCTAGGTCCAGCCGTTGGGTGGAGGTGTTCCCTGGGGTTGGGCAGAGGGACAGATGCTCGCAGACACCAGCTGGGGACTTGGCAGCTTCTGGCCCAGGAGACTTTGGTGGCAGTCACCATGGTCTCTGTGGCTGCCACCAAAGGGTGTCAGGGTCATGGGCTGCATGTTTTATCTCTGTGCCCCCTCCCTTTTCCACCTCCTTGGTGCTACCAGGGAGGTTGCCAGAGCCAGGGAATGTCCTCAGGGCACCGCAAGGCAGGCGCAGCTCTGTGAAGGGACCCCGATGGTACCCTGAGCTCTCTGCTGCACACCCCATGGGGCACGTGAGCCCCACATGATGCAGGACTTGCCCTTCCAAAGTGAGGTGCTCTGTGTATTGCCCCATGGTGCAGAGCTGGGCCCCGAGCAGGGCAGGGCAGAAAAATCCCATGGGGTGCCAGCCAGGGGGGACCTGGCGACCCCCTTGTGGGGAGGCAGAGGTGAGAGTGTACGTGTCCCTGCAGCTGAGGGGCAGCAGGACAGATGGGGTCACTGGTGGGGTGTCACCCACTGCCGTGGGCTGGGGTGGCTCCACACTTGCATGCTTGGAGGACGCAGCGTTTTCCTCTCCCAGAATGCAAACATGGCTGGAATCCATCAGCCCCCGAACTGCCCAGTCCTTCCCTAAACCCCAGCCCCCTGGTGTCCAGGGAGAAGTGGATTTTGCCCCCTAACACACCCCACTGCACCACGAGCTCGCCCCGGATCACTGGGCTCCTGCCTGACTTCTCAGTTCGTAAATCCACGCGTTGCTGTGATTGATGGCGGCCGGGGCTGCTGTCACTAAACCCTCCACACCAGCCCCTGACACCCGCATGGCTCATGACCAGGTAGCAAGAAGAGGCTGAGATAAAAATCAGCACGGCACAGCGCAGGGCTGGCTGGAGATCAGACCGGTGGTGCAGGCAGGCAGACCGGGGAGCAGCGCACATTGGTGATTCCTGACTGCTCACATGGCTGGGGAGGGTTGTCTTCTGCCAGCGAGCCACGCTGCCCATGCCACACACAGCCCCCAAGGTCCCGACGTGGTCCCTGTGCCCAGACGTGGTCCCTGCCCGTGGCCTGCCACCCTGCAGGGCTCCGAGCACAGCTGCTGCACTGGGCCCATGCAGCGGGACTTCCCTGCTGTGCTGAGCATGTCCCTGGGCCATGGCGCTCCCAGGTCGGCCCTGACCTCTGGACATGTGTCGTCCTGCACCCCCAGTGCATGGTGCTCCCAACCCTTCTGTGCCCCAAATGCGTGATGCTCCCACCCCTTCATCATCCCCAATGCGTGGTGCTCCTTCCCACCCCTCCTGCATCCCCAAATGTGTGGTCCTCCCACCCCTCCTGCCTCCCCAATGGGTCCAATGGGTGGTGCTCCATCCCCCCTGCCCCCCCGGTGCCCAGTGCCTCCGTCCCTCTGCACTCCCGGGGCACAGCCATCCCACCTCAGTACATCACGGGGGCAGAGCGTTCCCACACTGGTGACATTCGCATTTCTCACCGTCCACATCCCAAACGCCAGCAAGTCTGCCCCCCGCCCACAGCAGCTCTCGCCTGAGCATCTGCTGCCCGGCTCAGCCTCCTCCTCGCCACTGAGCAGCGCCCCCCGGACTCCAGGCCATGGACCTCACTCCCATGCCTGCCCCAGCTGCGCTTTCCCCCTTCCCCCTTGCTCCCCGCTGCCATCGCCTCTCTTCCCCCGACCAGGGACTTCCACCTCCCACCCTGGCCAAGTCCAACACCAACATGAGAGCCCACTCCCTCAGCTCCCACCCACGCCTGCACAACCCCTGCCTGCCCTGTCATACCCCACCGTGTCCTACACCCCTCCCTCACAGCCCGGCACCCCACAGCACCCCCTCCCTGCTCTCATGCCCACTGGCAGTGCCATCACGTGGTGAACACCTCCACAGGCCCCGTGACTCAGCCTCCCTCGTGGGACAGCACCCTTGTGCTTCGGTGTCCCTTCCCACCCACACCCCAGGAGCTCCCCGTTCCTGCCCTGAGATGATCACATCCCTGTGTAAATCCCAGAGCGTGCCCCAGGGACGCCAGGTAGGGCTGCAGACCCCAGGGCTGGGTGAAAATCCCCCCGACCACCTCCCCTGCCACCGGCCAGACTGCCCAAATTGCACCTGTGGGACGCAGCCCTGCTCCAAGATCTCATCCCCCTGGCTCCCCAGGTCAAATCCCCTCCAGTTTGCCGGTGTGTCCTGGGAAGTGACTGCCACATCCTGGGACATGATCAGGGACAGGCTGGATGAGGTCCAGGGGGTGGAAGCTGCAGTCAATGAAGTTCAGCTCAAGGTGCAAACTTTCACTGGAACAGGAATTAATGAGCATCTTAGTGGCCGTAAAGAAATGAAGGGATTTCTTGTGACTTGGGAGATGACTCAGATGGCGAGCGAGCCTGGATAGTCTGGACCTTATCTGTTTGAGGTCCACCTTGATGATCGTAAAGCACTTCTGGATGTTTGGTGAGGTCAAGCCATCTCAACTCTGTCTACACCGGGACTTAGGTGGCATTTGGGTATCTGAGTCTCAAAAAGCAATTTGTAATTCCCTCCACCGGCACCCAAGGTTACAGATATGCAGGAAGGAGGATGGGCTGCTGCACCCAATTGCCCCATTTATTTTGCCCTCAGGCTCTTGCTTTATCTCTGGGAGCCCAGGACTTCCTTTTGCAGGGGTGTCTGCGAATCCCAGCTCTGCTCTGAGCCCAGCAGCTCAACTTTGGTAGGAGGGATGGAGGATCCCTCAGTTGCTTTACCCCCTGCCCGTCCTGCCCAAATGAGGATTGTGGGGTTCCCTTGGGGAGTGGCGCCAAATAGGTCAAACCATTATTTTTTTTTCTTTAATTGAGCTGAACCTGAGCTGAGCTTTGCCAATTCCAACTGGAACCAAATCACCAGCCATGGACGGTGTAACACATTCAGGGAAAGCAGGCACGGAAGACAAAGAAGTGGCTTTGAGCCTGGGTTGACCAGCAGGTGACAACCATTTGGGTGATGATGACCACAAACTGAGAGTTCATCCATCCTAGAGCTCGATGATGTGTTCTCTTGTGGTTGAAACGGTGTCAACCAAGCACTCCTGGCTGTTGAGTCTTGTCCTCCCTTTGCCGGAGGATTTCAGCTTTGGAGTATTTTGTCGGAGGATTGCATCTTTGGATTTCCTGTCTTGAGCTGTTTGAACGCTCTCCAACCCATGTTGATCCAAATGACCTGGTTAGGCAGTCTGATGGTGGGTCTATCCTAATGCACAGTTGCAGCTGGAAGAAGATGTGCAATTAATGTCTTGGAAAAGGAAGGAGGGAGAGCAGCAAAATGAAGACTCTGGGCTGAGAACGGCTATGTAATAACTCCTGGGAAGCATGTGTGAGGGAGGATCCTGCCGGGGAGCTGCCTGGTCCTCCAGAAACAGCTTTAAGGGAGTAAGTTCAGAGAGAGGCTAGGAATCTGACGAAATGGAAATCTCCCCAATTATCTCAAGAATGAGGAGGAGGGGCCCAGACAGCGGAAACGACATTAAATCATTAGAGACAGGGTAACGCAAGTGCATGGGCAGATGCAGCCTGGCCTGCTGGAGAGGGCTGATGCACTTTCAAGAGCCTGCGGGGAAGGTGAAGGTAGTCCCCAGTGGTCCCAGCGGTCTTGTGGAGATGCAACCATGGCTCTGGGGTGGCTGGTTGGTTGCTTTCCTTTTCTGCTTTGGTGTTGGTGGGGAGCGTGGCCGATGTTGTCCCGGCAGGGCTGAGAGCTGAGTGTGGGCTGGAGGTCTGTATAATGGGTGTTTGGATGAGCCTGGTGGGCTTTTGTCTTATGGCACTTTAGGCACTGGCTGAAGAAATCTCGTCTGAGAATTATCCTTGTGAACAAGTAAACTAAGAGCTCATGTGGGTTCAAAGGGTGGGTTCAGCTCAGGTTCACAGAAGAAAAATCCAGCAGGGATAATCGCATAAAAAGGCTCAGCTCTGGCTCGGGAGGTCCATGAGCTGCAAACTGCTGTAAGCTGGGGAAGTGTTTGAGGATGATGTCTCATCCTGCGTGGGTCCTGTGTTTCTGCTGCTCACCTCTGCTGGTGGCGACGCACAGAGATGCGCAATGCCTAGGGGCACCATACCCACCTTTTGGCGCAGAAGGGAGGCAGCGAACCTCTTCCTGCAGCAAGAGAAAGGGCAGGCAGGAAAGGCAGGAAGGCGTTTGGTGCTGTTTCACATGCATCAGCAGGGAGCATGAAGCACCTGGGACCATTATAACCAATGTGCAAATGTGGTTCCCAAAGAGCCCTCAGTGCCCTTCAATGAAGACCATCCATGCTCTGCTGGTAGGACTGGGATTTGGGGATTGAGATGGCAGCAGTGAAGTGGCAGTGTCGGAGGAGGCTTCAGTGCCCTAGGAGAGCCTCTCCAGGTTTATCCTATCCCTGCTTTTGAGGGTTGGTCTCTTTGCAGCCCACTGGACATCACATACTTGGCCAAGCCAAGCCTTCCTCTTCCAGACTGACCCGAACTCATGTCTGCTCCCTGCTGGCGTTGTCCTGCCATGAGGCTGAGGCCAGGAGGTCACCCCTTGGTGCCACAGCCTGGTGACCTTCACCAGGTCTGGTCTGTAAGCAGTGAGGCTCTGGCTGGCACGGCGGGCCTTGGGGGAGGTTGTTTGGTCTCCATGGGGTGTCCAGGATCGACGGCAGAGCTTAGTGTGCATTGGGTCTGGGACAGAAACGATGGCAGTGCTGGGTGGAAGAGACCTCAGGAGGTCTCTAGGCCAACCTCTACCACAGTCAACACCAGAGACAAGCCCGATGCCCAGTCCTGTGCTGGGGCTCAGCGGGCTGCGGGCAGTGTGGTGGTGTCCCGGCTCCTGGCTGGGATGGGAGGAAGCACAAGGGCTCTGCAGCTCCTGTTTTGGACCCCTCCGCTACGGTCCATGCGGGCTGTGGAGGAGCCTGGTCCCTTCCTGGTCAGCAGAAAAACCGTGTGCTGGGGATGTGAGGGGGCGTCTGACCCTGGCCCCAAGGTGGGAAGACGCTGGACTCTGTGCGCTTGCTGGCAGCTCACCAGCGAGCCGTGCTTCACTGCTGGGTGATGGAGCTCCGTGCTTCACCTCAAGCCACCCCACACATGCCGGCCGCTCACCACGGGTTCCCAAAGCGTGGGCTGTGTGTGTGGGTCCTCACCGTGACCCACTGCCCCCCTGCCAGGCACGCCGATACACACAGAGCCACGGATGCTTTCAAGCTCTGTTCAGCACAGATGCTCCGTGTGATGCCAGATCTTTTATGTTTCTTGGCCCCCGGTTCCTTGGCCATCTCGCCAGGTATGGAACTATCCCAGCTATTTCCTGCTGTACTGCAAAAAAAAAATTATAATTAAATAATACAACCCTTCCCCCTGTTTGATATAAATACACACTGCAGCTGCCCAGCCCCCTGGCTGGATGAGGAGCATTGCAGACGGATTGCGTCTCGCAACAGCACAGCCAGCACCCCCGTGCCCTGCTTGTTCCCTTTGGCAAGGGGAGCAGAAGGGGCTGCCATGGTCATGGCCCGGACCCAGCTCCCATTGCAGCTGGAGTGATTTATGGTCTGGTTCCCTCCTCCTGACAAGCACATCCCGGGACGATGTGCTTCTGCACTGAGCAGGGCGAGGGGAGCTCGCGGCCCTCCGGGGCTGGTGGTGCCCCGTGGAGCTGCCCCGTCCCCTGGCAGGGCTTGCGGCCGAGGAGCACAGTCTCCTGTCAATCCTGGCAGCCTGGGGGTCAGCGGTGGTGAGAGACACCCCGCCCCAGTGTATTTTCCTAGCGACTAGTTTATATTTTCTATCCCATGGTGAGTGCACCAGGGGTCTGGTGTCCTGGGATTACCCTCCCATAATCCCAATTTTTCAGTCCCCTTGCTGCCCTGTTCCCAGGCTGGGGTGATGGGTGCTTCCCAGCTCAGAAACCTGCCCAGGCAGGGAAACCCAGCCCTGAAGTGCGGCTCCCTGTGGGGATCTTGCCGCTGGGAGGGGGGTGACAGGTTGGGCAAGGGTGCACTTTGCTCCAGGACCTTTGCCATGTGGGTGCTGTGCTGCGCTGCGGGGCTGGTGGGCTCTCATAAGAGCCTAAAATGTACAGCTCGGGGCAATGCACCCACAGCAGATGCTCTGCTCCTGTCGCAGCGAAGTCAGCGAGTGGATTTGCTGTCCCTAGGCTTGTCCCTGGTTGCCCTCTGCAAGGATGGTTATGTGGTGGGGGAATGGGCTGCTGATGGGACACGGCAGTGGGACTGCGATGGGGAGAAGACCTGGAGACCTGATGGCCCCCAGGCTTGCTGCTATTTTGAGCTCTCTGGTGGGGCTTTGGGTGGGAGCAGCCTGTTCACCCGTGAGGCACCCATCCCGGCTTGAGGCAACAGGAAGGCCAAGACAGGCTCAAGCCCAGGGCTGCATCCGTGGGTGCTTGAGGCAAGGGTGGAGGTCATGGTCTCTCCTCCAAGTGCCTCCAGCTCCCACCCCACCAGCCCCCGGCTCCTGTCCCCCTTCCTCCTGCTCAGTCCTTGCTGGCAGTGGGGCTCTGTGCCCTGGCTCTGCCCGGCCTGGCCCTCAGCCTCCCACTGGTGCAGAAGGAGGAGCAATGATTTTTACAATTACGGGGTGCATTCTGGAAGAGGGAACTGCCTGGGTTCACCGCCCATGCCAGAGCTGTGACCCACCAGGGCTGCTCCTTGCCAGGGCTCAGGCTCCATGGCTGCAGCCGGTTTTCAGAAAAAAAAAATAAAAATCCCAGCCATTAATTAAATAACCGAGGTCCTGGGCAACCCTGCCATGAGGGGCAATGCTGGGAAAATGTGCGGGACCTTGAGCCCCTCTTTTCCCCACCCCATGGGGGCCCGTGGGTGGGGTAGGATGCTCGCCTGGCCCCCAGGCCGGTGCTCTGCAGAGGCTGGGTACCACAGGGAGTCCCATGAAAGCATCCCTGGGTGCCACCAGCCCTACCTGACGGTGGGCATGACCCTGGCCCTGGCTCTGGCTGTGGGCGAGCTCTCTGGGGCAGTGCCCAGCAGGCAGGGGCCAGTGCCCGGGGCCGTGTGCGTGTGGTAGGTCTTGTGTTATTTTGTCTGATCTTTTCCGGGCCGAGAGCAAGCAAGCTATGGTTTGAATTCCAGTTTCACTGTAATTATTCTGTTATCTCTCCGCCAGGGTCTGGTTTCACTCATGCTTTGGGTTGCTGTCTGCCGTGAATGGATGTCTCCCTTAGCAAGGGCTGTTCCAAAGCTTTCCCTGTCTCTGCCCATTTCCACTCCCCCGCTGCCCTCGCAGACCTCCGTGCTCCCCTCAGCCCTGAGCCTGCAGCCCCCGCAGCACGGGCAGGGCGAAGGCTCCCAGGAAGCGCAGCACCCGCAAACCTGGACCTGGGCAAGCGCGCCTGCCAGCTGCCCATCCCCTCCCCAGGGCACAGGTCTGTTTTGGCCGGGAGACTGGCCAGGACAATGCAGCAGGACCACGGGGGGTGAGGAGGATGAGGGGAGCCGCAGGGAAGGGGCACCGGGGGCCGTACCATTCCCTGCCCTGCCCGCTCCGGTACCCTGGGCTTGCTGGGGTGCAGCAGGGGAGCCAGAGGTGATGGGTACTCATTGCAGTATGGGCAATCGTCGTTAGAATTTTTCCTGATGGAATAGTTTTTTTTCCCCTGTGAGGGTGGTCGAATATGGGAACGAGAGCCCAGAGAGGTGGTGGGACATGTGCTCTTGCAGGTGCCCGGAACTCAGCTGGACACAGCCCCAGCCAGCATCATCACGTTGGACCTGCTGTGTCGAGGGGGAGTGGGGCTGGATTGGATGCCTCCACAGGACCCTTCCGACCTCAGCCACTCATTTATTTTCTGACAGTGGACAGGGACACTTCCCCAGTGAGGTGACAGTCATTCCTGAGGGGCTGAAGGCACTGCGAGATGTCATGGGGGGGCTGTCAGAGAAGGGGCAAACCACGAAGGAGGTTTGCAGAAAAGGAGTGGAGAAGGTGCTGGATGGGGGCTGCTCCCCAAGTGTGTCCCGGGACCCTGACCCTGTTATTGAGGCCTGGGCTTTTCATTGCAGCCTCTGGTTAAAGCCGGTTTTCAAGCGTACCTGTCTGCGGGTGACCCTCCCCCTGGCTCCAGCACCCGGCCTGACACTGGTCCCAACTCATCAGCACTGATATGTTGATGGAGCTGCACATCCTCCCTCAGGTACCGGAGCGAGTCGTGATGGGCTGCTTCTGGACATGGGGCCTCTGAGCAGGAGCCTGCACCCTGGGGATGGTCCATCTGCCCCATCACGATGCAAACTGGTCCTTCCTCGCTGTCCTCTCCAGCTCTCAGGGCCACTCTCCATGGTTTAGGTCCCCAGACCCTTCAGAGGATGTTCCCTGAGGACCAGCTGTGGGATCCTGGGGCTCAAGGGGTTTGCTTCACTGCTCTCAGGTCTCTCTGAGCAACAGCAGTCCAGCATCTCTAGTGTCCCTGGGGCTCAGGAAGGGACCCTGAACCCCCTCCTAGGGCATCTGGGGGCCATGGATGCATCCCTGTGCCCCCCGGTAGTTCCCATGCACTGGGCCAGAGCTGGTGCGACACTGCTGGGGACACTGAGGTGCGTGTGGGTGCTAATCTTTGGGGCCATCAGACCAGGCACTGAACCAAAATCCAGCTCTAATTGGCCTTGTCCAGTAATTCTTCCTGACAAAACAATTAAATTTCTCAGGCAAGAGGTGTTCTTTGCAAACAGCCTGTGCCAGACGCTTTTGCTTTTTTTATCTGTGGTATTTAAGGATCTTTTCCTAATACTCACTCATTATTTTGTGAGGCACAGACCGGCTCTGCCTGCCCTTTTGAAGCTCAGTATCACACTCATGTTCGTTTGTTGTCCCAGGGCTTCCCTAGCTCTATGTGATTTTTTTTTTTTTTGTTAAATTATTTTAAGTAAACATTCTTGATTTGCAAAGGGCTGGGCCCTGCGAGACAGGGCAGGGAGCGGGACCGGCTCCAACCCTCCCAAGCGTGCCGAGGCTGCGTGTACTGCAGCAGGACTGAGGTCAAAGCTGGAAAAACTTGCAAGAGCAGATCGCAGTGAGCCTGGCTTGTGGGCTGGCCCGTGCAGGGGATGGCGGCGAGTGGAAAACACAAGCTGGGGGGGCTGCAGCCGCTGTGCATGCGCCAGCAGTGCCCATGGTCTTTCCTCTCTCCACCCTCACCCGCCTCTGGAAATGGCAAGGCGATGGTGCTGCTGATGGGCTGATGGTCCCCTGCCTCCTCACCTGGGAGTTTCAGCACTCTGGTCTGTTCCTCATTGCCCTGACACTGACTTTTAGTGGCTTCAACCCATCCTTTGGAGGAGCCTGTCCTTTGCTTTTCCAGCCTGGGTGCCCGATGAGGCTGCACTAAGATGTCTTAGCATCCTAACGAGCTGCTAATCCAAGTCCTGCCCACAGCTTCCCTTCCCAGGGCCCTTCTCCCAGCAGCGTCTGGACTCCATCCCCGTGCACACCCCCTTCCCACCAGCCTCTGTGCTGCTATTCCCAATCCCGGGAAAGGGAGGATACAGCTTTGGGGAATGGCACCCCAGGAGGGTGCAGCCCCGGTGCCTTTGGGGAACGGCGAAGGGATGCAAAGGTTTGCATCTCTGGGAAGTGCTGTGTTACCAGAGCAAAAAAGAGCATCTGGATGGGATGTGGCGTCGGGTGAGACCATCTGGGTTTTGGGGTGAACCTGTGCTGCCTGGGGGGGGTCTGGGCGCTCGCTCTGGATGTGCCCCCATCTGCACAGTCTCTAACCCCTTGCTCAGTGACTCCAGCACTGCTGGCTGCTCGTTGCAGAGGATCTGGGCTGGGGTGGGTGCTGTTACCTTGCTTGGCCTTTGCTGGAGCCAGGAGGGGCGTGGGGGGCCAGGGAGGGGAGGGAGTGGCTGATGTAGCAGCCCCACAGCAGGTCCCAGCCCTCTCATGCCACCAACACATTCCCCCGGTCGGGGGGAGATGACTCCCATCCCTCCTCCATGCATATCCACCACCCTTAGCCTAGGGGCTGTGCTGGGGGGAAAGAAAACCCAAGCGGCCACGGCTGTGGCAGGTGCTCCTGTAGCTCGGGATGACCTTTCCCAGCGGGCTCCATCCCAGGGATTCAGTCACTTCATAAATCTCCCTTCTTCTGCGGCGTGGACCACGGAGAGGCAGCCCAGACGCGAGGCTGGGAGTGTCCAGCTGCGGACACTATCTCAGCGGAGGAGCCGTGTGTGGGGATGCCAGCATTTCCAGGCGAGAGACAATAGTGCTTTATTTCCCTGCCACATAGGAAAAATAATAAACATTCCTTGGGTTTGTTTTCAGGCTGCTTTGTGGAATAAATCTCAGACTGTTGTTGTCTCCCCCGGCTCCCTGGTACCGCAGAACTGCCTGTTCTCTCTCCATGAGTCACCGACGCCTGCACTGCCGCTGCCGGCGCCTCCAAAACCCCGCGTGGTGGCCCAGGGGCTGATCCATGTCAGATGGGCTGTGGACACCCAAAGCAGAGCTACACCAGAGCTCAGGTGGGCACCAGCGTCTGTCGGGATCGATGAGCCCCCCTGGACATCTCTGCCAGCTGCCAGCAGCAGCCCGGGCAGCCCTTGGGACCACCTTGTCCTCTGGACCTGGGTCTTCCTTCCAGGGTCCTGAGTCTGACAGCACAGCATGCTGCAGGTGTTCAAGGTGAAGACCTTGTCATGGGACCTGTGGGACAAGGGCTCTGCTGGGGGAGACCAGCATTGTGCTGGAGCCAATGGCCTTTCCCATCCCCCCTGCCTGGGTGGGAAGGAGATCCAAGGGATGCTATGGCCGCTGTCCTTCCACCTGAGAGAAATCTGTAGCAGTACCCAATTTTGTGTGGTGGGATCTGGCCCTCTCCCACATGGTGCAGAAAGCTTGGCCTGATGTAGACCCTCATGCTGGAGATGTGGCTCCATGGGGGAGGAGGTGACCATGCCCCTGCCCTGGCTGATCCCCGTGGAGGCACCGCTGATGGGCCAGTCACATGTGCTGTTGGGTAACATGGGGGTGGGAGACAACAGGCAGTGCTGGATGGGCACCTCCTGCAGCAGCAGTTCTTGGTGTGACCAACAAGCAAGCACTATCCACATCATCTCCAATGCCCAGCAAAGTGTGCCCAGTACCCCACCATATGTGGAGACCTCATAAACATGACCTCCAAACCTGCCAACTTTCCTCCTGCAAGTGGTCCCACCACCTGGAAAATCAAGGAGGCCTGGTGTGGACCATACGACACCAAATTGAGTGGGGAAGTAGACTCTGGAAGAGTCTCTGGAAGAGAGACTCTGGAAGAGAGAGCCACACTACAGGAAGACCTGGATGGGCTGGAAGAATGGGCCAACAAGAACCTTAAGAAGTCCAATACGGACAAGTGTAAGGTCTTGCACCTGGGAAAACACAATCCAGGGGTGCAGCACAGGCTGGGATCCGCCCAGCTGGGGAGAAGCTCTGTGGGAAGGGACCTGGGGTCCTGGTGGCCAACAAGCTCCATAGGAGTGAGCAGGGTGCTGCTGCGGCCAACATGGCCAACAGGACACTGGAGGGCATCACCAAGGGCATCACCAGCAGGGATAAAGGAGTCGTCATCCCACTCTGCTCAGCACTGGTCACACCACACCTGGAATCCTGTGTGTAGTTCTGGTCCCCACTGTGCAAAAAAGCTGTGGGCAGGCTGGAGGGGTCCAGAGCAGGGCCACCAAGGTGATCCAAGGGCTGGGAAGCCCTCCTCAACCATATCAGGATGGGCTGAGAGAGCTGTGTTTGTTCAGCCCTGAGCAAAGGAGGCTCAGAGGGGATCTCATCACCACATACCAGTACCCAAGGGGTGGCTACAGGGAAGATGGAGACTCCCTTTTCACAAGGAGTCCCATGGAGAGGACAAGGGGGAATGGACACAAGTTGCTCTTGGGGAGATTCCGACTGGACATGAGAGGGAAACGTTTCCCCATGAGAA